ATCAAAAAGTGTTTTTCTTAGAAAAAAAATATTCAACAAAGGTGGTTGAGTTATTTTAATAAACTTTTAAATGAAGTTTCTGAAAAAACGATCTACCTTAGTGATCTTAATATCGTTAATAATAATAAAATATATCATTCTTACTGTCGCATTAGTAAAAAGAGGTTGAGGAGGCTTTAAAGAAAACTAAGGGTGGAAAGTCTGTAGGACCCGACGATATCCTAATTGAAGTATGGAAATATATAGAAAATTTGGGATTTTCTTGGCTTACTAAACTCTTCAATGTTATTTTAAAAACTAAAGAGATGGATGATGAGGGGAGGAAGAGTATTTTCCCAAATAAAAGTTTTGAGTTCTCTCTGTTTCCTTTTTCCCAAATCAAAGGAGATTATAGAGAAATCAATTTGATGTGTCATACTTTGAAATTATGAGAGAGGGTAGTTGAACATAGGTTAAGATGTATTATAACTATTTCTAATAATCAACTTGGACTTATGTCGAGCAATTCTACTATGGAAGCTATACATTTATTTAGATGGTTGATGGAGAAGTTCATAGAGTAAGTAGGATCTACATATGATTTTATTGATTTAGAAAAGGTTACGATAAGATTCCAAGAGATATCCTTTAGTGAGTTCTAAAGAAGAAATGTGTGATATGACTTTTATTCGAGTCATTAAGGGTAGGTATACTAGAGCTGTTGTTGGTGTTCGAACAGAAGAAGGATTGACAAAATATCTTTCTATTTCAGTTGGATTACATTAGGGATTAACTTTAAGCTCATATCTTCTTTTTTTTAGTTATGGATGCTCTTACTAGACATTTACAGGAGGATGTACCTTGGTGTATGCTTTTCGCTGATTATATCCTTCTTGTGTATAGGACTAGAGAAAAAGCTCAGAAATACTTGAATTATGATGGTCTACATTGAAGTCTAAAGGCCTTCGTTTGAGTAGAACTAAAACTGAATACATGAAATATAATTTTAGTAGTAGTAGCTCTAGTGACAGAGTTGTAACTATGGGTGATAAACTTATTAAAAAGTGTAAATGCTATAAAAATCTCGGGTCTATTTTTCAATGTCATAGTGATATAGATGGGGATGTTATTAGTATAATTTAAGTTCGTTGGTTGAAGTGGAGGAATGCTTCGAGCTTATTTTGTGATAGAAAAGTACTGCTTAAATTGAAAGGAAAATTTTATAAGATAGTGGTGAGACCTGCAATGCTCTATGGCATTGAATGTTGGCTTTTAAGAGAGAAGCATAAAATTAAGCGTAGTGTTACCGAGATGAGAATGTTTAGGTGGACGAGTGGCTTTACACTTTGAGACAAAATGTGAGACAAAATGCGAAATGATACGAAATGAATATAGCTATGATAGGGTTGACGTAGCTCCAGTGTCGGACAAAATTAGAGAGAGTCGTCTTAGATGGTTTGGTTACATTAAACGACGACCATCTGATGATTTGATTAGGAGAGTAGATGTTTTAGATTCGACTTATGTTAATAAATGCAGAGGTAGACCTAGAAAGACTTGGACATATTGTATAAAAATGCTCTTAATTTATTAGAAAAAAAATAAAAATATGACACTCAATAGGATGCAATGGAAAAAAAAGTGATTCATGAAATAAACCCCACTTATTGGGATCAAGGTTTATTTTTATTGTACATAACACTCAAAACACAATTGTTTATGAAAATATCGACCATGTAATTTTCTTAAACCATCTAATTCATGCATTTATATTTGCCATGATTAAATCATTTAAAATTTAACTAAAAATAAAAATAGCATTGGGATTTTGTTTTGATTGTTGATATATAAGCCAGAATTAAAAAAATGGAGGTAAGTGCATAATTCCAATTTATAATAGACATTAAATACAAAACCTAAACCACACACGTATCGTTAGCGCCCGTGGCCTAATGGATAAGGCGTCTGACTTCTAATCAGGCGATTGTGGGTTCGAGTCCCACCGGGCGTGCTCTAATTATAAGTTTATTATCTTTTATTCCAATCTAATAAGCTTTCATATTAATTCGCAATTATTTATTTTTTTAATTGAAAAAAATATGTATTAATTGAATATAGTACGACTCTTTAAAATATTTTATGAAGTCTCCTATAAATTCCTAAATCAATTTTTTTCTTATTTTTTATAACTATATTTTTGGATTTTCTCAATTAACAAATTAATTATTTGGATTGTTAAAGACTTTGGCACAATCATATATAATTCTGAACGCCACAAAACGATCCCAAGTTTGTTCAAAATAATTAAAATAGAATCATTAGAACATGCTAAAAATATCATATAATATGATGACAATTAATCCAACAATACCAAAATTATTTTGTTTCAATGATGGCATGGGAATCTCCCATAGCTAAACACATAATATACGTTCACGTGCTTGTTTTCGTTCCTTTTTTTTGGAGTTGCAAGTGTATCTATTGTCGTATGATTTTCTTTGTTTGAGTAAATCTCACTTACAGACCATATAGATGATCTGGAGAAGAGAAAAATTGGAAAAAAAAAGAAACATACAAAGAAGATAGACAAACAAGAAAAAGGACGTGGAAAACTTTCATAAAGTGAACTTTGCGTGATAGTCCAAAAGCGTACATCCAAAACGGGATTAGATCGAAAATGCTTTGGAACATACCCATGAAGAAGACCATACAAATACAACCCATAACCATAGACTCAAGATTGGTTATTCTGGGGTCAAAAGCAACTCCCAAAGGGTGTATCCCTTTGTTTAATTATATACTGGGGAATGCCCAAGAATACCCTCAATTAAAAAAATCTTGCTTACGTTCATGTGACGACTAGTAAAGGGTGTCACAAAGGATGGTTATCTCATAGGAGCATATCGACACTTTCAAAGTCTCGTTAAGCCATATGGTAGAAAGTGAGTCAATCATATCCCAAATGGGTAGTAACTCAGAACAATCAAGGTTCGTTGAACAACTAGGTCAACTCATAGGGTCCACACTATGCTTCGAAAGCCTAACCAAGCCATAAGGGCAGAGTGTGAAGCACCGTATCCTAAATGGGTGACGGTCTATCCACAATCGGGGCCTACGAGATGACATCGATGAAGCTTAAAAGGGAACGACAGGGCTCAAAGTGGGTAGCAAAAGAGAGGTTGAGTAATTCTAATCGGGTAGATATAGCTAGGTAGGATACCACAAATTCTTCATCCCAAGCTAATAAGAGCATAAGTTTGTCTGGTCGTGAAGGTAGTAGACCTAATACAACCAGAGATCCCTTATCAGATATATGTGAATTGCATCATCCAAGGGGACCTTGGTAGCTCTAAGGTCAAGAGAAAGAAACTCTAAATCCTATGATCCAATGTAGGTAGAAACTAGAGGTGGGGCCTATACCTGTCAAAGTGGTGAGGAAGTCGCTGGAGTGGAAAAGAAAAGAAAGGACCGGTTATAAAGCTGAAAATACTCTCACAATGGATTTATTTCCCGTCTGGGTCAGTGAAGCCTCTAACCCCCTAAGCATGTTAGACAATCACCTAAGTATAAAATTTATGCTTGGTCAGTCGGGTTGAAGAAGCATGTAAACATGATATTATGGATAAAAAAATGAGATAATTACAAACAGTTCACTCGAAAAATTGATTTTTACAGATAAACTATTTTTTGTATTTACGCATGTGACAATCAAACTGATGAGAATTTGATTAAAATGAAAATTTTGGGTTGGGATTTCACCATAAATTTTGATATTTGAGTGAGAATTTGAAAAATGGATGAGAGACGGTGATTCATTTGTAAATAGCAAGTTTCGGGTAATTTATATTTAATTACCGCAAAAAAATAAATAAAATAAATACATGCTAGTTTATATATCAAACACAAAAAAAAATATTCGTGTTCGGCTCGTTAACTTAACGAATGCATCAAACACGAGTTTCTTAATGAACAGAACAATAACTGTTCACGAACAACTAGCCATTTTGATAGCTCTAAATACAACACACCTCTCTTACGCTTCTCATGATAAAATTTTAATTTCAAGATTTTATATTTTTCTCAATAAGTCAATTAAATTAAATTAATAAATATTTTTATTTTTTTCTTTTGGCTTTTTTCACTAGAAAAAAAAAAATCTTATATGGCTTTCTATGTTAAAATCTCCAAATATTTTAGTTTTCTTTAATTAATAATTTAACCCATGATTCAGCTACATTCTAAGAATTTTGACATTATCTACCATAATTTTAAAAGCACACAAATCACAATGTAGTTCAAAAGAACTAAAATGGAAGCAAATATACATTGAAAAAAAAATGTAATCATATACCAAGTGAGCTTTAAACCATACAAGCCAAACCTAAAGTGATTATCTAGCAATGCCAAAACTATCTTGTTTCATGTTTGGGAATGCAACCTCTCAATACTGAGAATAATATGTCATTATTATTTTGCACTAATTCAATTACAAAATCATGATTTTAAAATTTGTGTCTATACTCATCTTTTCCTCCTCTAATTTAGATAAGATAAATTTTATTTTATTCTAAGATATTGGACTCCTAAGAATAGATTCTTATGGCTAATTAATTCACAAGAGTTTGCATTAGTATATATAGATTTTGCATGCTTTAGTTTTCTCCAACAAAACTAATGTCATAGCCATCTCTAACGAAACCTATTTAATAATCTTATTTAGGGTCCGTTTGAGACAGCTTGTGCGTTTCAGGATGACCTATTTAATAATCTTATTTAGGGTTCGTTTGAGACAGCTTGTGCGTTTCAAGATAAACTGCTTATATTGAAACACGGCCCGCGGGCCGTCAGCAGGGGTCGACCCGCGGCCTGCGTTTAATATAAAAATCCAAACACAGTTTCGGATAAGCTGGCGAAACGCGCGAACCAAACGGTACAGAACGCCGACAGTTATAAAAAGCTGAAACACAACTCTGGTACATTTTACAATTAGTTTCTGCATGATAAAAAAAAAAAGAATCAAATTTTTTGACAAATTCTTTCACAATTAATATATCGAAGTTTTTACAGCTGCGATGAAAAATAGAAAATAAGCGTTACACTCTAAAGCCAGAATTACATTCACCAACCGAAGAGCCTTATTGCAACTGCCAAATCATTACAGAGATATATAGAAAATCTTCTACCTATAAACGAATTCAAACAGCCCTTCCTCCGCCACGAAGCTACTCGAGTCAACTTCACCCGACAGGCCGGCGACATATTATTGGCTATCACTCTGTTGATGGGGCCCACCTGGCCAATAACAACCAATGATACATCGCCACACAAGCTAAAGTCACACCTGGCATAAATTTAAGCATGTAAAGAACAATAAATTAAAACATGGGAAGGACATTGTTATAGAAAGAAGAATCCATTTACATGAGTTGTAAGAACTCTGTTTCCGGATTATAAACTTGTATTGGAAAGAAATCACTGCCTTACTGCCTTGGCTAAGCATCTTCAAGCTCAACAAGATGAGCCCTTCTCTCTGCTGCTTTCTTCCTTATAAAAATACCCCATCTCATAGCCGCCTTGATCTTGAGCCATCCGATGACAGCTTTGCCAGACGACTGGTTGCGCTCTTCATCAAAGCCGTAGTTGGAGAATAGCGGAGTGTATGGTGTAAAGCCATATCCATCTTCCTGGATATTATTAGTAGCAGCTCCCCCCATGCTGAAGACTCGTAGCAAATGTTGCATGTCATAATTCTCCAGAATCTCATGGCTTCTCATCCTAATCTCATCCTCAGGCAAGAAGTTGTCAAAAGAATTTACATTCAAGGATTGTAAGGATTGAGCTGCTGGCTGATAATCTAAGCTTGTGGGTTGAGTTAGGCCCAAAGCAAGGCCTGCAGTGTTGTTAATGGTCATTTGAGTTTGGTGAGAGGAGCTATTGAATTGGGTCTGAGAGGCAAGTAAACTGTTGTTGAACTGCATGTGGTCATTGGAGTTGATCTGCTGGGTTTGAATTGGATGTATGTTTGATTGGTGCCCATCATATGTTGTATCAACTACCCCACCTGAAACAAATAACAATTTTGAATGATCAGAAGATTTAGAAATAGCTTTAACATTCATTTGGTTGAGATGTTAGAAATTTGCCATCCTTCCAGCACAGCAATAAGGTGGAGAAAAGGGGTTGCTCTTTTGGGATGTAGATTCCAGGAAGTTATAGAGAAAATAAGCCCTTTAATGAATGCATTTGGATTGTACAAAAATCATCTATAAGCCAAATGATTTTTCAAGTTTCACTTGAAAGTGTGACAAGTTGGCTATCACATTATATAATCCATAGATAATTTTTTAGGGCAAGTATTCTACTTCTACGGGGGGGCGTAAGCAAGCTAGAGTGTTGTTGAGCAAAGCTCCTTAAAAAAAAGGTTAAAATTTTTGTTTGTATTTACCTAGTTAACATATCAAACTGAACTATGCTGTTTAGGATCATAAAGTCTATTCAAAATACACATAAATAATTGAAAACACATTTTGCCACTTATGTAAACATATATTTATATGGACATAAAAATATGAATGTAAGCGAAGTAAAATCTAAATATACATAAACACATCTATAAATAAATGCAAATAAGCATACTTATATGTACACATAAACATAGTCTGAATAGCGATCAAAAAATGAATTGTTCATTTTTGGCTGTTAAAAGCAGACTTAACTTTCAAGGATTATGCACACAGTAGAAATGACATTCTCACAAAAAATTGTAACTGAAAATTCAGGAAAAAAAATGAAACAATTACGATAAGTTCTTATTAAAATGAAAATAAATACAATAAATACAGAAAGAAAATAAAACATGTGCTAGAAGAAAGGAGCCTATGCATGCTTTACATTTCTTACCCCCAACAGCCACTGCTGTATCCACTGAAGGCTGATGAACGGCAACTGGAGCTGGCAACCGCTGCTGTGGCACTTGTGAGACTGGTTGAGTAAACGAAGCTGGGTTAGATGATGGAGCTGACAAAGGTTCACTGTAAATGGCCTTTTTGTTCTGCCTAATGTTCAGGAGGGCCTTGCCATCATACTCTACAACATTCATCCACTTCTCATACGCTTTTTTTACCAAGGTGTCAGCAAAGATCTGCAATTATCAATAAAATATGGAAGTTCTATGGCATGCAACCATCACACTAAAGTATGAAAAGATAGTGAGCAAGTTGCTGAATACCAAAATAAGAACGTACATTTTAAGAGGGCCAATAGGGAAATTTACATACATACCACACAATTCTTACATATATAAAACCTAAACTTTCATATTTAAATTAATAACAAACCTATGCATGAAAAGATGCACTTCACATCTTAAAAGTAGGTGAAAGTGACATTTTTTATGTGATATTAACAATTTGATGCATGTAAAGTTAAACTTTGGGTGTTAGGAATGTCATTTTTTATGTGATATTAACAATTTGAGGGTTATGCATGTAAAGTTAAACTTTGGGTGTTAGGAATGTAAATACATACAAATTGTTTGGAATGTACATAAATGCCTCTAGAAAGTTTATAAGCAGGACTTTCAAGATGAAAAAAAAGAAATGCTCTAATACATTATTAATATATATAATTAGAGTTGACATCTTAATCAACAATGCACATATCATGCATGAACTAGTGCCTACCTTAAGAAGTGAGCGTGCAAAAGGGAATGATCCATGCCAAAAATGCACAACAACAACAACAAAGCCTTAATCCCACTACGTGCGTCGGCTACATAAATCCTTTTTCTCCATTGTGTTCTATTTAGTGTCATATTTTCATCTAGTTCTAATAAATTAAGATCATTTTTTATACAATAAGCCCAAGTCTTCTTAGGTCTACCTCTGCCTTTCTTAACATAAATCAAATCTAAACCATCTACCCTTCCTAATCAGATCATCAGATGGTCGACGTTTAATGTGACCAAACCATCTAAGACGACTTTCTCTAATTTTGTCCATCATAGGAGCTATACCAGAGCTACATAGGAGCTATACCAACCCTATCACAGATATATTCATTTTGCATTTTGTCTCTAAGTGTAAAGCCACTCATCACCTAATCATTTTCATCTCAGCAACACTTAACTTATTATTATGCTTCTCTTTTAAAGGCCAACATTCAACGCCATAGAGCATTGCATGTCTCACCACCGACTTATAAAATTTTCCTTTCAGTCTAAGTGGTACTTTTCTATCACACAAAAGGCCCGAAGCATTCCTCCACTTCAACCAACCAGCTTGAATTCTACTATTAACATCCCAATCTATATCACCATCGCTTTGAACAATAGATCCAAGATATTCAAATCCACCTTTTAATAATTTGATCACCCAAAGTCACACTTCTATCACTAGAGCTACCTCCATGCCAAAAATAAATGATGAAAAAATAAAAACCCAAAAACCTAGAGAATTTGATTTGGTTCTGAAACAAGTGTACGGAATACTTTTTAGAAAGGTAGGAAATCTGAAATAGGGTATTTTTTAGAATTTTATAAGGAATGATGAAAAAATAAAAACCCAAAAAACTAGAGAATTTGATCTGGTTCTGAAACAAGTGTATGGAATACTTTTTAGAAAGGTAGAAAATCTGAAATAGGGTATTTTTTAGAATTTTATAAGAGACCAAACAATAAACATGCAAACCCCATAAATATAAATTCAAAGGTTGAGTAGTGAAATAAACTAACGTGTAATAAAGCCAATATAAAGCCTAATCAGGGTTTCCCACATACAAACCCCTTTTGGATATTGGGTAGGTAAAGACCAAATAAACTACAATGAAACATACTTGAAGGGAATTAATTCAGCAAAATAATAGGTTTTAAATCACTCGATCGGTCTCGATCCTACTAAAAAATGAGAGAGTTGTACTCTAAATGCTGAGACGTAGCCAAGACAGTTTCTGGATTTAGGAGAGAATAATCGAGTAGTTGAGAGAGAATAAACCAAAATGAACTATTTTTTACTTCAAGTTTGAATTTTAAATCCAAAGGCTTGCCATTTATGAAAACATAGGAGCCATCCAAATGAAAACAAAATTAAAAATTAAATATAATACAGCTGCACTAATTTAGGAATCCGTATCCAATATAGACAAAAGACCTAACAAACATTTACATATAATGTTTGTTTAAAAAAATTTTAGATAGTTCCTCCTTTAATGACACTCCAAGTTTTATATGGCTTGAATTTGAAATTTGACACATTGCAAATCACCCTAGCATCACAATTCGAATAGCAATTTTGCATACAAGTTCATCATCTTAATGCTAACATAACTTCTACCCTTATGAAGGTATTTTTGCAAATTTCTTCAAAATTCTCTATTTCAGGGATCCTCCATCCCCCTTTAATACAAAGCCTTGATCCATGTGCTTATGATTGGAGCGTAAGTGGGCTGCACATCATAAGAGATAAAAATTCAACATACCCTTTAAACTAGATCATAGAGATCTTCCATTCTAAGTTTCGCTAGAGGATTACGAATGTTGGCCTGCACAATCCTTTAGTGATTATGATAGTTAATTCCATTTAAAACACAGATTGAAAATTGTCACATTTCAATTTCTCTTTAATAAAGTGTCTATCAATCTCAACAAGCTTGGTAAGATCATTGTATACTAGATTTTGCACAACACCGATAATCGATTTATTATTACAATGTATTTTATAGGCTCTTTTCACTTAAATTTTAAATCCACTAATATGATTTTGATCCATAGAAGCATAGATCCTTTGAGTAATGGCTTCAAACTCGGCTTCAATGTGTGATTGAGCACAAGTTATTCCTTGCTTTTATGAGATTTCCTCTAAAGAATGTAAAATACCCGAAAATGGACCTTCTACTCACAAGAGATACAATATAGTCCACCTCTATACATACCATGCAATTTGTAGGATATCATGCCATTTGTATAGAATTTATTTTCCTGAGCTTGATTTAAAATATTTGAAAATTTATGAAGCACAACATGACAACAAAGCATACTTGCAAAAAATAATACACAAGTCAGACATAGGCGATCTCTCTCAAATCTTATAATTTGAGAGGTAGGAAATCCCTCCAAAACCCTAATCTTAAGATCTCATGCATACCTAACCTTAAACTTATTAGGTTCTATTTATATTAAACAATAATAAATAATAAAAAACTCAATTCCCCTTTTAGGCTAATAAAAGACTATGTTACCGCTTAGACCAAACCAACATAATAATACTCCCCTCTCAAAAAACATGTTTTCCTCAAGGTGGATAAAAGGAAACTGCTACTGGATCGAGCTCCCTTATCTCCTCATCACACACTATGAGAACCTGTGATGTTTGATCCTTAAAATGATGCACAGGAGAACTTTTCACCACACAGAAAATATAACCCTTTTGCTCGCTTCTCCTAAATCTGACTCTGTAAGACGCTTGAAGTTGACCCTTGAACAAGCCCCCATACTCTTCTCCTTCGGCACCTCCTCGTGTAATCACATCTCATGAGTCCTCAGTGTCATAGTCCTTGAGGTACTCATGTACTTTTCTCATAGCACTGCTTCTGTTGGCCTTCTCCATCTAATTCTTGTCCTCCACCATTTGAGTTAGCTCATTATCTCCCTTAATCCCCATGATCTCAATAATCAAAGTGTTGAACGTATGCGGGCTTTAAGCCATTCATGAAATTCTCCTTCAATATTGCTTCAGAAATCCCCCTCAATGACAGTAGCTTGAAACTCTCCATATACTCCATAAAAGTCTTTTCCCGAGTCAATGAAAGGAATTGCTTGTATAGGACCCTTCCCGAATGGCTCGGAAATATTCAAACAAGCAATCCTTAAATTCTTCCCATGAGCCGATCGGGTATATAGTCTCCCTCCACTGAAACTATGTTAGGACTTTCCCCTAAAAACATAACTCTGCTGTCATGAGCTTCTCCTCCCATTAAGCCTATTCACCACAAAATATCCCTCCACCCGATCCACCCACTCATATGCTTATCCCTCTCAAAGATCGATATTTTCAACTTCCTAACCCTAGCATCTCCACTCCAATTTCCTCTTCCTCCACTATTTTTCTCCATTTATTGAGGGTACAACTCCCTCCTTTTATCATAATCATACACCATACCAACTTCTCTTCTTTCCTCTTCATACTACTCTGCACCCCTTACAAAACCCATTCTTCATGTTTCGGTCAAATTGCCTCCATAGAAAATCTCTAATCCACCCCCACCAGAGCCCGAGAGGAGGTTCTTGATGGCATATGCTTTCCTCATCATGTTGCTCTCATTTGATCACTTTCCCTTTCTATTTAGCCAATGAATTTCCAGTCAACCCATGGTTATAGTTTGCAAACTGAAACTCAATAAACTTCCTCAGCATCTCCTCCAATCTCTCGAATCGGCCCTCAAATTAGTTTTCCATGTAGGAAACCTTCCTTCTATGGTGAAGAACATTTCCTCTATCCCAGATCTGATTTGACTCTTCTCTTCCTCCAACTTATTTCCCAAATCATCTATTTTCTTTATTGTCATCTATCTAGCACGGATTCAGAAGTCCCTTACACTGAAATCACGTTGAGGCTTTCCGATTAACCTGAATCCTAACTATACCACAAAGTGTTTAAGTTGCACTCCCTTTCTTACTCTTAAATCACATGGTTCAGTTACTCGGATTGCAGCTAGGGTAAGTGAATCGTTGTGTTTCTTAGATCGATTAGGTCCTTCACGAGATCCCGACCGATGAACTCTAAGCATGACTATGTCACTTGGAAGGAGCGGGAGGAAGAGAAAGAAGAAAGTTTCAGATATCTCTAAGCTAAGATTATGTCATTTGCCTTCTCCGTAAAATTCAATAACTGTGATCCTATCATTGCCTTCTCCGCGAGGAAAAAAGAAAGTTTCGAGTCTACACAAGCTACGATCCCATCATTGCCTTCTCCACAAGCTCTAATTGCGACTGTATGAAGTTTCGGGTCTCTGTACGTTGATTTGTTGCTTTCTGTATGCACACTAATCCCATTGTTGTCTTATATAGGCTCGATCACAACTATAGCATCGTTGCTATAACAGGAGTTCGGTAGTTCGGTAACAATGTTCAAACAAGAGGGTTTGTAGGCTCGATTCCTAAATCTCTTGTCAACATATATGACTCAATCCATAAGTTGATATCCCACTTGATAGGATTTCATACAGATTTCTCACAGAAATTAAGGCAAGAGATAATTTTATTTCACGAGCACCAAACAACACAATACAAAGATATAAAGATAAGCACTTACAATTCGAGATGTAGGTTATATCTCCTGAATCCTACAATTCGTGAGATGGAAAATCTCTCCAAAACCATAATCCTATAATACAATACTCAATCACATACATAACTAACCCTAAATCTATTAAAATCAATTTATATTAAACAATAATAAATAATAAAACACTCAATTGCTCTTAGGCTAGGTTAACATAACATAGTACTCCCTTTTTTGCTCAACATCAACATATGGCTTCTACACTTACTAAATTTATGTAGAATTTATTTTAGAACATGCTTGAAAACCTACCTCAGGTTGTCTCGGCATCAGAGCTTTAAGTTTAAGTTTACAATTCAACAAAAAGTATCATATATATTAGTATAACTAAACTTTCTAATACACAGTTCACTATAATTCATGATTAATTACTTGCATGAGGAAGAGAAAGAGGATTGTAATACTTCTCAAACCCTAAACCATTGTATAAAGCTTTTCCAATTGTCTAGGGTGAATTGTAGCTTAATTCATGCTTAATTACTTGCAAACATTTTTAATGAAATGATATTGATAAAAAAATAATCTTTACACAAATAATATTTTAATTCAAGATCTTGAAACTCAGACACATTAGAGCATATTATATTCATAATGTTTGAAGTCTTTAATTTAAAATTGTAGTTGATTTTCCTAATCAATGAATGAAAAATATGATCTATTAAATTAATAATTTAAATTAGCTTTTATTTTAACAATAATGTTCAACAAAAAAATATTAAGATTAATTAATTTTGATTACAAAAATTAACTACTTAAAATTAGACATATAATATATTTCAAAGAAATTCTTCCAACTTATCTACTAAGACTTAAAATATTTTGCATTTGCACCATTTTATTTAATTACGTTAAAATTTAACTTTCAAAATTATAATAAGAGTACAAAAAAAATTATAAATTATCACTTATACAATCAATGTGACTTTGACTCCACTTGGCTTCAACAGATAGAGGCTTCAGTGCAAGTATTGTAGGGTTCAGCTTTAGCTTTGACGGAGAATAATTGGATCAAATTCAAAAAATAGGTTCGACCCTTGCTCAATTGTGGCAAAGAAGCTTACAAATCCCACTTCAGCGTGTACTGGTTTGGCTTGGACAAAAAAAAAGAGACTTCCATTGCTCGGTTTCAATAAATGGGGATTGACCTTCGACACAACTTCGACAAACAAAAATGTAACTGCCAATACTTGGCTTCGATGAATGCTAGAAGCACCTTCGATGCTCGACTTCAATGACCCTACTATAACGAATGTTGGAGTAGGTTGCGACAAGATGAAAGATGAGGTGGCGGCTTTGACTATAAAGTATAATTAGGGCTACACATATAATTACAATTTTCTATTCTCATGTCCCATAATTTTATCAAATCATGTCTGACACCTTGTCGGGGTGTCCCAGATATGTTTGAGTCCAAAAACAAATTTGAAATATTTTTTACCATGTCAGCACATGTCAGGGAGAATTGAAGTTGTGTCCATGCCCAACACAGGTACCACACTTTTTTAGAAGTGCCGGTGTTACATAGCTAAGAATTCTATAAGCTGCTAAAAGGTGTGACTCCTTGAGTTTGTGCATAAATTGGCTGAGTATACTTATTGCAAATGTAATGCCATGAAAAATTTGAGAAATGTGGTTAGTTTACCGATAATCTTTAATATTTTCACATATCTATATTAGTTGCAAGGTCTATTTTTTGTCTTGATTCAGTAAGTTACATATGGCTTGCACTCTATGATCTTGATTTCCTTTAACAGGTTCAAATTCAATTGAGAGAAAAATATCCCTTATTCAAATTGACTCACTTCTATTCCCAAGAAATATTCTAACTCTTTGATCTCAAATTATTCAATATCTTTTTCTGATAGCTTCTTTCTCCTAATTTTCATCCGCTATAATAATTATATCGCTGACATAAATAATAAGAATTGGCATTTCACCAATAGCAGTGTTTAATGAATAAAATATGGTCTCTTTGGCTTCATTTATATCCAACTCTTTCCATCGCCTTTGCAAATCTATCAAACTAAGTTTTTTGTTATTTTTTCGGTTCGTATAAATCCTATTCAATTTTCTTACCGAATTCATTTTAAATGGGTTATTTAATCTTGATGCCACCATATACCTCTTCTTCGATATCTTCAAGTAAGAAAGCATTTTATATCATATTATTTTATAGGTCACTCGTAATTTATTGTTAGAGATATTAAAGTACAAATAGTATTCATTTCTTTTATGGAAGACATTTTTTTATAATCAATTTCATGTGATTGTGCACATCCTTTTATTATAAATTCATTTTGTATCTTTCTAAAAATTCAATTATTTTGTATTTACCGTAAAAATTCATTTAAATTCTACTATCTTTTTCTTCTTTATAGTTTAATAATATAATGTCTGATTTTTTCCCAAGGCATTCATCTCTTTTCTCATGACCTCATTCCAGTTTATATTTTAAATGTCTCGAATATACTTTGCGGAATAAAATGTGTTCAGTGATGATGTGAATTAAAGATGCTTTATGATATGGAGAATTTATGAATAGAGGAATGCTATGATATATAGAATAAATATGTAATAGTTGTGTGATTAATATTATCGGGTAGTATCACTAAAAAAGATGAGGTTTTGCCTAACTACAAGTTGATTGACAGCAAATTTTCATCATCTATGTGCATGTCTGTGCCTCCATCCAAGATTTGTATTGACAAGCCCGAAAGACCATAAGATGTTCTATATCCGCTCTTGTGGTTGGCCATGCTTTGGATTGAATTCGAATTATTTCAACTATAAAATTAATGCCTTGCATTCAAAAACCATATGAAAATTTTGCAACTAATTCCCTTTTAATTTGCTAATTACACTTTTACCCCCATCATTTTTTACAAATTTTTTGAGAACCTACTAAATCTATGCCGTCTAAGAATTACAAAGCTAATCTAGATTTAAAAATAGCACTCCTAACATCAAACTATCTCGACACAAATAAAGTTAAGCAAGATCTACGCTTTTAGATGACACAAGCATGCAAACATTGAAAATGTACAGACTTCTAATTAAAACAATATGAGATACACCAATCAGGTTTACATTGCTACTTTTTATTATCAACATTCGTCATTTCATATTGATATCTATCCAAACCACTTAAAATTTGAAACAGAAAAACAAAATTCATTAAACATGCCCGTTCACAAGAAATTATAGGTAACCATATCACTACTAATTTTGGACAGCCCATATATATATAATGGGAAGCATGTTGTTGCCTGAGAGATGGAATCAGTATGGCAAGGACAATGACAGTGAGGAAAAAAAAGGGGTTCTGATTGCTAATGGAACTTCATTACTTTGGTCCTGATTAATTTAGCTTTAATTAATATGATCAAAACATATTTTTAGTGTAATCCAAATCGTATGCTCATGTAAAGCCCCTTTCATTCATATTGGCTGCACAATCACGTGGTGCTTAAGCATGTGAAGTCCAATTTAATTAATGTAGTAATTTCTTTAAGGAATAGAAATAAATTCCACCCGCATTAACAAAAACTTGCTTGGACCTCAAAATCCACTCTATGTAACGGAGCTCACGGCTGCAGCAAAATCAACATAACATTTCATAATAATTTAGTTATTCACAGATACATGATGATTTAACCAACATATATCAGGAATAATCAACCAGTTTAATTGGTCATCAATTGGAATATTACAAATCAAAACTGAATCACCCGTGATGTAATATAGCTTTTCGTAAGCTGGGACGAAATCAATCTAAAGGCCTAAAAGTTAGGATTTAAAACTAAATCTTGGGAAAGTAATAAAAAAAGGATTAAAGTAGAAATTTGAAAATAAAACAAAGAAAATTCTGAAATATAAAAAAAACAACCCCAAAAAAAAATTTGCCAACCTTCTGGCTCTCATTGAGAGACTCGGCTGAGAGATATTGTCCACCAGCAATCAGACCCGCAAATTCATAAATGTTGTTGAAAATGGCGCCAACATTTCTAGTTTCCTCAGAATAATATACATAGAATTTTCCACTGAGAACACAAGTCTTGGCGTGCTCTACAAGAACATCCCACATCTTATTTGACATGCCACTTCCAAGGATCTGCAATCATATTAAAACACATATTGGACTAATGCAGGCATCAAGAAATTCAAATCACTACAAAAACATGAAAATTACATTTCTCAATCTCTGCGGATCCCTAACAAAGAGTCGTAGAAAATCTTCAACTGAATAAATTGAAGCCTTATTTAACTTCTTGTGAAATGCACCATCTTTCCCAATCTTCTCCAATCTCCACACATCATCTTTTAAGGCAGGAGGATAGTGTTTTTTGTATACTACACATATTTGGAGAAGAAAATTTAAAGTTAAAATTTCTACCAAAAACTAATCAAATTAGAGTTCTTAAATCACGTACATTCCCCTCTGTGATCCTTAACCGTAAATGCTTCAGTTTTTCCCTCCCTTATTCGGATACCTTCACAACAACCAGAGGCTATCTTCAAACCAAGCCTAAACTTCCTACTTCTTATCCAGCTTGAGTTGTCCGTAAATATTAGTTCTCCGATAGTTCCTACACCTTCTTTCAACGAAACCTGTAAATCACCAGTTAAAAGGGGTCTCTTTCCTTCCCGTTCTCTAACTACATGACTTTCAAATTCTTCTTCGTCCCAATCATCATCTTCTTCTTTATTAAAATCACCCTCAAGAACCAGAATATCAAGTTTTGCAGAAGACTCAAGTCCAGAAGTTACAACATGACCGTTGTTGGCATCAACCAACACAATGTGAATTGCAGCTCCTTGATCTCCTTCAACTTTTCCTCCAGTAAAAATTGGTAAAGATAATCTAGATTTGAACTGCAGTCGTAAGTTTCTTCCATTTGGGCCTTCTAGCCGCTTTGGAGAAGACCTGCACCACTTTCAGATGATAAATCCGTGCCAGGAAATGGCAACAATTTTATCCATGACATGATAAACAGCATCAAGCATATTAAATCTCACCAGCTCACCAACTTGATACAAAAAATGCATAAATAACAGGCCCAAAGCAAAGAATAATAGTCAATAAACAATTAAAATTAATTCAACATCCAATTAATTCTTATGCTGTAAACACATAAAAACTTGGACAGTACTAATTGACATTAATCTTAATGTTAAGGATGTCATTTGGCAGGAATGAACTCTTACTCCATATCAGATCTATGTTAATCTGGAACCAAAACATGAAAGGGAACTGTAATACAAAACATAAAACAGTAGGAAGATGAAATTGTATAAAAGCCATCAATTGTAACACGACGCAAAGAAACCTCCATAAAAATCGATAAACAAACATTTTAGTTATATGATGATTTGTTTTAACCAAGGAAGTTGCTCGCTCAAAACGTAGATTTCTAGTAAAAGGCAGATATGTAGCAACTAAAGCTATTTAACGAGAGCAAGAAACCTGAAACTTTATATCTTTTCTTCTAAAATGTGAGAAGCATCAAATAAATAAATATTCAGTGAAATAACTCGTAAAAACTATCTTTTCTTCTAAACAAAAACTTCAAAAAGTTCATGAAAAAAATTCTTCTAAACATTCATAAAAATATCTTTTCTTCTAAACATTCATGAAAAAAAATCAGTAAAATAACTTATAAAAACTATCCCAGCTTACTGGTCTATTATTTTCTTCACTAAAATTTCGGAAGCACGAAATAAATAAAAATTCACATGTGTCAGATATATTAAAAATAATGAAATTCACATGACAAAAAAACTTATAAGCTTCAAAATAATAAAAATATATCAGAAAATTCCAATGCCATACCTTGCCCCAAGTCTAGCAGGATCTAGCTTTGCTAATGCACGCTCGACTTCCTCGCTAACCTGTATTAGCAAAAAAATAAAAAAGAGATGCAGAACGAAACTGGATAGTGATTGCAGAAAAACAAGAAAGAGAGCAAGAATATATTAAACAACACGGATATAAAACAACTATGTGAACCATTAAGACTGCAACAAATGAAGACTACCCATTGGGCCATCAATCCATAATCTGTACACCATAATAAATATTAGCCCACAATTTGCAATCCCAATCAATGATAGGTTAAAGAATTTAACTTGAACAGTTTCTACAGCATTCAAATACAAGAAGAAACATCCCAATTTGCACTGAAAAGGTCAAATCTAAAAAAAAATCTCAGACTAGTTAAAAGTCAACACATAAAATTTTGACAATGAAAAATAGTATTTGCTTGACATAAAGTCCAACAATAATATCTTATTATATCTAACAAAGTTGATGAATACTTGATCAGTTAGTGACAGTGTACATGATCAAGGAGGTCAAGCTAGTTCTTGCACCTCTGGATGGTTAAGTGTTGCAGCTACTATAAGAATAAACTATAAAGTTATGTCGATCTCCTTTCAAAATCAGTCAAAATAACATGCATGACCAAACAAAATATATCATAAGAAAGCAAGAAAAAAAAAGGTAGTATATTAACCATAGATGAAGAAATTTATGTTTTTAATATCTTCATAGTGCATATGACATAATGAAATATAACCATAACTAAAAAATTGGATGAAATGTCAATGACGATAAAATTCATAGTCCAAAAAAAAAAAGCAGAGTATTTCAATCTTACAATTCGGCGAAGCACGGGTTCTAAAGATGAACAAAGTTTCTGCAGACTATCCAACTTGAGAGCTTCCACAATTACGCTGGAGAGGATTATATATATATTTTTTTCAATAAGCAGCTCAAACAACATATATGAACTGATATAGCAAAATAAATTATAACAAAAAAAATATAATATCACTCCAGATTCAGAAAACAATACAAAAGAAGAAAATAAATGGAAGGAATTTCCAGGGTTTAATTTTATTAAGCTTCTTTTTTCTTGAGAAAAAAAAAGCAGACATAAGAATAAATGATTCAACTTTACACGTATCAGCATTCACTAGAGTCCATAATAAATTTTCCTTCATAATATTTTACAGAATTAAAATCAGATTAAACAATAAGGTAGCTAGAGTAATTCTAATGACTTAACATCATCAAGAAAACAAATAAATAGTTTTTTTTTTCCATCCAAACCAAAACATGTGCATCTCCTCAGATCCCTCAACTGCTAAGCATAACAAAGTAAATCTCAAACAATTAATTACTGATATTCAAGTGCAAAATACAAAATATAACTGTTCCTAAAGTCAAACTATTCACTACTTACATTTGAAATCTTTTACATGTACATGCCTTCCTCCTCCTGCTCCTCATCATCATCCTCAATATCATTAACCATATCCCAAATATTTAGTGTCAACTTTATGTATCCTCAATTTCCATTCCTCTCTACTGAGAGTTAACGAAAGTTTTTGAAGTTATTTTATACAAATATTTTTGCAAGGCTTCTACAAATTAATTGTCAATCTGCTCTTTTATATTTTCCTTTCTGATATTTTGTAAGTTAATTTGATTTACTATTCTGATTGTTACAACTTATACCACTCATTTTACATTCCAAAACAATTAAGTCTATTTTGACCGGTATTATCTTCAGTAAATGTTAATCCCACCATCTTTCTAATATAATAATTATTCAATATATTTCTCTTTTTCCACATATACTTGTTGACATTCTCAATTTTTACTTGGATATTAAAATTTGCAGATAAAATAGAGGAACAAACAAACTATGAGCTAGAAAACAAATATTAGCTTTTGCACGATATGAGGTGCAAAAGATAAAATCAAATCCAAGTTCAACTCTTATTAGCTTAATATTTTATTGTTATCACTATAGACTATAAAATAATATGCATCTTCCGTTGTCTTAGCCGAGCCAATCTCAAAGTTAAAACACCAATAAAACAATCTGGATCCAAGACCTAATTTAAGCACATACCATATATTTTACAGAACTTAAATTTCAACACAAAATCCCAAATGCAACCAATGGGAAAAAAATGAATTTAGGCCTCTTTACAATCACATAAAAAATGTTGTCCGTTTTTTGAACAAAAAAGTATAAAAGCAACGTTTAAAAAATACAACTTGACAAAAAAGTAAGGGGAAGAAAAATAAAAACCCCATATGTATTGTAAAAAAGAATTCCCACCCCAACCCCCACCAAATAAAAACGTAAAAGTTTAGTATTAAAAATAAACATTAATTCCAAATCCCCCAAATTTGATTGCAAAACACACCACTGTATTCTTTCATTATTGGTTATATTTTTAGCATGAAACTAAGGGAATCCATGCTGTCACCACTTAGTATACCATAAAGACGCAAGAATAAACTAACCTCCATTCTAATCATGCCATTCATAAAAAAATTACTGTAAGCACTATGAAAGATGAACATACTCCCCTACAAGCATCCAAAATGCAATTCTTTTCACATAAATTAACAATGACTAAAGGTGCACGCGCCGACAAAATAAGATGAATAACAGGAGCCAAATTGAAAAAACAGTAGAGTAGATTTAAAATTAAGAATCCTTACAATTTCCTAGAGATAAGTAATAAGCTTCCATCGTTCTTTTCTTCCATTCAAATTAATAGATCGATGACAAAACCAAATAATGAGCAAGAACCAACAGATAATTCAACTCTTAAGTCTGAAATATGTGGTCGATTCCTAAGAAAATGAACTCTGGCAATGCTAAAATTTCAATACTTACATAGCACTTCTCAATCACTACATAAAACAACCATCGATCCAGTATGTTAACTCTAAAGAGCAAATTTTGCCATTGAACTCTAACTGATCTTGCCCAAAATGTTTACTTAACCAAATCAAAAAAACTATAGCAGAAAATATAAATAAGTATAACTCGAAGCAAGAAAACCACATTATCAGGCACCCTTCAATCAACCAAAATCAAATTCAAAACTAGCCAACCAACACTTCACCATCATGCATACCCTTAATAACCCCCTAAGGAAAGCAGAAGCTCTTAACATACCTGGCAAGAGCGGGGACCTTCCGCCGCTTTGTCTCGGGTACGCCGCCTTCATTATCTTCCCCAGGGTCTAAACCTCGCTTTTCCCTTGTCATCGTCCCTGATCTCTCGTGATGCCAGGTGGACCTCTGCATCCTGTCAACCCCCGTAAACGGAACCCTAAATCGCCTTAATTTGAAAAGAAGAACTAGCAGAGGTTGCCACAAAAAAGACAATCTTCGCGGCGCCGCTAGAACTCAAATGATCCACCATATCGAAATACTGATAGAGACTTCTTGGGTGTAAGATAGGGTGGTTAGCATCCCCTCTACGGGATAGGGCAAACAGAAGCGAGGAGAGAAGCAGGAGAAGGAGAGACTCAGCGGAGTTGAAGGCGGCGGAGACTGTTCGGAGACTCGGTGTCAAGGGTAATTATCCGGTTTTGTCCGGGAGTTCAGGGTGGAAGCATTAAATATTTGGGCATTTACATGAATGCCACCCAAACCCCAATTATTTACATATCTAACCCCTAAGTTTTAATTATTCTATTTATGCCACTGAATCCTTCATATTACGTCAAACTATGATTATTTTAATTTTAAGAAAATAAAATACATATTTTCAGATAGATAAAATGTTATATAAAATTAAAGTTGATATATATATATAGGAATTAAGTGATATGTATGTAAATATTTCTTAAATATTTTAAATATTATAAAAAAAACTTTTTTCTATTGTTTGCCACCCCTTTTCTATGAATAACATTGTGAAAAGACTAATTTTCTCACTACTCATATGTATTTACATATTTAATGCTTATAATTTAATATTTATATTTATATTATAAACAAACCTTTAAACATGTGTATTTGATTTTTAAGGAGTTAGTAATAGTGATATTTTAAATGTAATGTTAAAAAACATAATATAAACCTAAAACTCAATGACTTATTTTACAAATATAGAATAAAGACCCTCACTTAAGTAGTGTGTCAATAAATGATCCAATATAATAATTCGACTGGTCTTTGCTTGAGATTTTTTTCTCATGTGTTTTTCTACGATTCTGCTTCCTTCCCCTCACCCATATTTTTTCCCTTTTCTTTTATCCAAACTCTTGTCGCCTCCTTTATCATCTCTTCTCCATTCCTGGTTAAGGGGCTTTGCCCACTAAGCCTCATGGGATTTGTTGTTTTCTCGCCGCTTTCCTCTTCCCCCTCTTCTATTCCTGGCCTGACCACCTCTCTCTCCTCGCAGGGGCTCATGCTTCCCTCATTCCAAACCCCACTAATTTCAATATCTCTTTCATCTCATGTTGTGATGACAAATATATTAGACGTATGTCAGAATGAAATAGCCCTCAATTTTTAATTTCTTTCTCTACACCCATTTGTATGCATTTTGATCAATCCAAAAGAATTGCAAGCCCAACTTCTTGAATTCCTCATTTTTTATATCTCCTCTTATGCTTATTGATATGGATCTGGGGGCCCATCAAAAGAATTAATGTAGGAAAAATAGTACGGGCATATACTATATATCATATCATATATTAAAATTAAGGAATTAGAGAAATCTAATAATATTAGAATTAGAAATATTAGATATTTTAGATATTTAACTATTAGATATTAAAAAGAATAAATAATATGAAAAGAAAACTCGTTCTTTAATATTAATAGAGGATTCTTTTAGGGTTATAGTTGATGGTTGTTTCTGAATTTCATCTCTACTGCAGAGCCAGACATGAGAATTTCTTCTCATCCAGCTCCTCGCGAATGAAATGATTCAATAAAATTATGATTACATAGAAATATTTATTTTATTCTATCAAAAACAAATGCAAGAATATACTAATTTTTTTTTATATTTAATTTGTTACATAGGTAGGTTGTATATATAACTTATATAACTATATAACTAGGCGTGTTATTTTTATACTTTTATATTATATATAAAGTATTAAATATAAAGAAAAATAATGCTTCTTTCTTTTAGTAAAATCTCTAAAGTATTTTTTTTTTACCTCTATTGAATCACGCCAATAGTCATCCAATAAATGAAATTCTTAAATGAAATAAAAATAAAGAAAGGTTTCGCGGGCGGATATTAACTCTTTCCTCCTTCATTTGTAGGGTCAATTCATGACCATTCAGAAGAAATCCATTTTTTTCTTGGTTCATTCCGCCATCCTACCCAATGAATCCTTAGGATTGATTCGTTTTCAAGAAAATCCTATGTAATCATAGGTTCTATCGTTATTAATACTTAGGCCTGAACTCTGCAATGGAGCTCTCAGCAGAATCTGTTATTTGTTTCCGAGTCAATCTCCTCAGTTTTTCTTAACCCGAAGCTCAATTAAATTTTTCTCTATTTTCTATTATTTAGATTTATTATTTAGATTCCTTATTTTTCTATCTTAACTACATACTTACATATATAATAGACTATATTATCCATATTGATTAGATTCTTTATATTATTATTTTATTATATTTTTATTGTATATTGTTTTATTGTATATTAATGTTGATGCTTTATAACACTGCCTTTTTTATGGGTTAATTCTTGATAAACCATACATATGGGAATCATATATCATTTCATATCATTTAGATCTTTATTCTCTCTTTCTATCACCTTTCCTTTTTCCACATCCCTTTTTTTCACAATTCATAATCAGATTTCTGTTTTATGAAAAGGATTTCAGTTGCTACAACTATATGGTTGATTCAGTCATATAGTGACTGTTTCTTGGGATCTCGACAATACGAAGCAATAAGTTGGTTATGAGTTTTGAGTTTCTTTAGTTTTGATAGTTATTAAGTTTATAGTGTGGTCAGCCTATTTTTCTTTTCAGTTTCAATTCTCAATTCTAAAGAAAAAACTAACGAGTCACACACTGAGCATAGCAATTTTACTAAAATTTAAATTTAATTTAAATAAAGGGTAAACCAAATTTTTATTCAACCTTATAGAATTTCCAAAATACAGAGCCTTGAGTACTAGAAGAAAAGCACCTATACCTAATAAAATTAAGTGAATACCCAAAATTGTAGTTATTTTATTTCTATATTTCCATACATAACCGAAGAATGGAAAGAATTCTTCAAGAGTTTCAGGTCCTAGAAGTGTATGATAAATACCGCCAAAGCCTAAGACTGCAAAGGAAATTAAGTGGAGTACTCCAGATACAAAGTATGGAAAGTATCAATAACTTCTCCACCTGGTCCTACTCCCCACCCTAGAGTAGCTAAGTGTGAAAGTAAAATCAATCCTTGTTCATACATGGGCTTCTCTGGTACAAAATAGAGGAAATTGAAGAGGGATCCAAAATGTCAAACCTATCATTGGTTATTACGCTATGGGGAAACGTCCATTCCGGTGCTCTTCTTCAATATATAAATAAGCTATGGCCGCTATGAGGTATTGTCGATCTTGGATCTCTTACAGGTCATTTTTTTTTTTGTATTTAGACTTAATTGCATGGAAGATTTGGATTTAGTATTATCTTAAGGCTACTAGTTTATTATAGGCCTTTTATTTTTAAAATATTGGATCCGTATTTAGGCTCATAAAAAAAGATTTTTAAGGAGATTCCCTTTTGGCTTAAGCTTTCTAATCTCCCCTGTTGTTGGTTTGAGAACGAGATTTCTAAAATTGTTTTAAAAATCGTTATCAGCTTAGTTGTAGACCCATTCACTGCATAATGCTTTAGGCTTACTTTTGCTAGAATTAAGATTCAAATTAACACTAAATTCATTTTTTTGTTGATTTCTTTAAGATCTTGATTAATGTTAAAGAGTTCTTACAACTAGTTATCTATGAATGAAAACCACTTCCTTGCAAATGATGTAATACCTTAGCGCAAAACCTGCTGACTTCACTTTTGGTTGAGGTTTAGTTTTTCCTCTTTAGTTGTCTAGGGTCTAGCCATAGGACTTTCCTGTTAACTATTCTTAGAAAACTAGAAAAGAAACCCTCACCGTTCGAAATTCTACACTCCTCCTTGCTCAACTTGAAGTTTCACATATTGTTCATAACCTCTAGCACTTAGTAGGTGGGGTCAATATAAGGGAGCTCAAGGTGAGTTCCCAAAGGATTGCTTGCCCTTAGGGTTGACCCTGGGTGCTGAAGCTAAGGCACTCACTTTCACTCACAATCCCTCACAACCCTAAACTCAATATTTGTTGACTTTGATCCCTTGATCCTGTGGGAGACTCGTGTAGATGGTCCCCTAAACCCACTAGCCCTAGGCTAGGATTTAGCTAAGACCAATACATAGAGGACCCAAATGGGGATTCCATTGGTTCATAGGTCATGTAGGGTGGTTGATACCCCAACCCTACCAAAATACCCAATTTGACCTTTCACCCCCAAACCTACCCAAATTACCTAAACACCCTCGAATCTCAAATTTGGTCAAAATCCTCAAATTCACCCAAAATATTCAAACATGTTCAAAAATCATTTCAAACCTTTTGAAAATACCCAAATTGCCCAAAACCACCCAAAATTACCAAAATACACTCAAATTGCCAAAATTACAAAAATACCCTTGGCACCCCAAACTTTTCCAAAACATCCAAAATCACTCCAAATGTCTCCAAAACCAATTTGGACCCTTCAATTGAACCCAATTTGACCATTTTGACCAAAACCCCCAAATTATCTTTAAAGGCCCAATTTCCCCAAATTCACCTCAATTGTCAAATGTCCATCAATTTGGGCCTAATTTTCTTCAATATCAATCCTAAAATTAAATTCACCTTTCATATGACCAATTTAAACCAAATCCAAGCTTAATTGGCCCATGTTTTGAGCCCATTTTGATCTATGTCAAACCCCCAATTTTGGCTACATGACTTAATCTCACCAAATCGAACCCCATAACCTCCTCAATTTGCCACAATTTATGTTGAAAAATCTTCATAACAATCCTATATTTCAAACTTGACCTTCAATTGGCCTTGATGAGGCCTCAATTTCATTTAATTTTGACGTAAGTCTAAAAGCCCCAATTTTGCCCTAAATTGGCCATACCTTAAAATCCCACCAAATTGATTACCTTAGCCCCAAAATTGGTACCCAATTTATGTTTAAAACTCTTCATGATGTTCTTATTGACCATTTTAAATAATCAATTAGTACTTAGCCCAAGCTTAGTCTAATCTAGACCCGCGTCTAGCCCAACATGCCCAAATTGACCAAATGATCGAAATCCTCCAAATTGAACCCTCAAACCAACTCAAAATCACTCCAAATCTTTTCTAAACTCTTAATTACAATCATCTAATTACAATCATCAAATTTATCAATCAATTGGGCCAATTGACATGGATAGCCTAACTTAAACCCAACATCTAGCCATTTTGACCCAAATTAAACCCTTTAACCAAATTTGACTTAGCCATGTCTAGGCCACCAAGACAATGATACCACATCCACTAAGT